CCATGCTGAAATCTACACACATAAAAAGCGCTGCGAAAATGCTTTTCTTTAAAAAATGTTTTGAAAAAGACATTGAGTTTGGCATAGCTCACTGTCGTCATCTGGTGTCACATTTGTGTATTGCACTACACATTTAAATCATTTTATTTGCAGTTGTGTATCTCAGTCCCATCTTACTTTCACTCCCTCTGATTCCTGAGAAATGAAACCGTAGTTCCCTGGGGCATTCTGGGAATGCAAAGTTGCCTTCACTTGCTGCTGCCTCCTACACATAACTTTCTGAGATAACTACCTGGGGACTTTCAGTGATAGATTTTAATCTTATGCTGCAGTAATGGCCTATTTAAGTAAGAAAGGATTATCTATCTATTCTATCTATCACTGTGGCAGATGATATAATCAGGCACTAGGGTGCTAATTGCAAGTGATTGAAACTGACCCTGGAAGTTATATAATGTGTGTCTTGCATTGAACAAATTGTGTGGTTGTTGTTTTCTTAAAGAAAATATATATTTTGCTTTCAGTTTGCTTATCTGTGCCACTGCTGCAATTCTAGTTTGAGTTTCAATACATTATCTACTGAAGATAATAGGGTATTTTTTTTGCTATTCCTCATGACTACAGAGCATAATACTAATGCTGAAAATATACTACTCTGGGAGGGGGAAAAACCCTCTTGGGATTCACTAGGTATATATAAAAAAAGTCATCTGTGGAAATAGAAAAAAATAGTTTTGGATTCCCTTCTCCCAGTAGATTTCAATCCTTCGTTAAGGCACATTTAAAACCTAACAAATTTCCCCGTGTGTATAAACCTTTCCTTATAAATCTTGAAATAAATGCCACAACCTAGCCAAGGAAGGGATGTCAAGTTTTAGCAAAATAGCCAATATAACACATTTCGGTATACAATAGATCCGTAGAACAACATTTCACAACAGTGTTGTTGTTGTAATTGTACAAATCCAATTAAGGTTCTGTATGTGTATGTGTATGTGTGATCTATGATTGAAAAAAAAGCTAGACAGTTGAAGATCATCGCTAAGGCTATCTCAGGGAAATTTGAAGTTAAGGCCAATGTGCCTTAAAGAGATGGACCCTGTGATCAAGAAGGATCACACCCTGTGATTCCTCCATTGCAGGTAGTTGGACTAGTTGACCCTTGAAGTCCCTTCCAACTCTCCTTCTGACTCTCCATTGTAGGCTTATGGTGTAAATAAGCAATATATCCTAAGGACAATACAGTCTCTCTCTCTTTTTTTTTAATTTTCTTTGCTTTTACAAGTGTGGAGTTTTAACAATACAAAATACATATCCATATCTGGAGATTTCTCTGAATCTCCAGACTTCCTGCTTTCCCCTCCATGGGTCCTATTATGAACCTTTTCTTCTTCTTTTTTATATATACATTTTTATTAGGTTTTTTTAACATATCATTTCCAACAATCATATAACAAAACTTCTTATCTTATACAATATTTTAGACTTCCGTCAACACCTCTGATGATTTTCCATTCTTTATCGCTTATTCTGTGTTTCTTAATTTCTCTATTACTCTTAATTATCATTAACTAATAGTTCTCCTAATAGTCTTTCTTGCAAAATTTCAAATAGTCATCCTTACAAAACTTATTGCAATCCTACTAGCCTAATCTGTTCATTACAATTACTTTTCAAATAGTTCGTATATTTACTCCAGTGTTCTAAGAATCTCTGGTCCTGCAGGGTTTGAATCCTTCCTGTTAATTTGTACAGTTCTGCATAGTCCATCAATTTCATCCGCCATTCTTCTTTCATTGGTAATTCTTCTTGCTTCCATTTTTGTGCCAATAATATTCTTGCTGCCATCATGATATTAATAGATGATATTAATAGACAGGATTGTAAGTTATTTTTATATGCAATGATGGCAGCTATTATGAACCTTTTCAACTGCATATTATTCCATCATCGAAATTTTATCTCTCTCCATTTTATCCATAGTATTTTCTGCATTACAAGTGTTATTGCAATCCTGCTAATGTTTTCATCTGCTTACAGTGGTCTAATTTATCCAATTCTTTATTGAAGTTTTGGTCTTCTTGATTCCTGAGCTTTCCGGTCAGTTTTGCCATTTCAGCATAGTCCACCAGCTTAATTTGCCATTCTTCTCTTGTAGGGACTTTGCCTTCTTTCAATCTCTAGGCTAGTAACATCCATGCGGCTGTTGATGCATACCTGAAAAGTCTTTTCTGCTCCTTTGGAAACTCAGTATCTACAATTCCTAATAAAAAAGCTTCTGGTGTTTTTTTTTTAAAAAGTTATTTTAAACATATTTTTTTCCAATTCATTATATATCATTTCCCAGAATGTTTTTACAGTGGTACCTCGGGTTACATATGCTTCAGGTTACAGACTCCGCTAACCCAGAAATAGTACCTCAAGTTAAGAACTTTGTTTCAGGATGAGAACAGAAATTGTGCTTCGGCAGTGCAGCAGCAGTGGGAGGCCCCATTAGCTAGGTTAAGAACAGTTTCAGGTTAAGAACGGACCTCCAGAATGAATTAAGAATATAACCAGAGGTACCACTGTTTTACCTTACACAGCCACCACATATGGAAAAAGGTGCCTTCTTTTTCTTTACATTAGGATTGACGCGCAGCAATAAATTTATAATGCAGTCTTCTTCAGTAAAAGAATAAAAGCTTTACTGAGTTAAAACTTGTTTGCAAATAAACAGCATAGTGAACAGATGATTTAAACTAGCTTCAGAGCATACACAGAGTGCAGGCTTCACTTCTGAGTTAGGCTCCATACACACACACACTGACTCCACCCTAACTCATAATAATAGTAATAATAATAATAATAATAATACATTTATTTATATCCTGCCCTCCCCAGCCGAAGCCGATTACATAAAATCACAATCAATTAATTGAAATACATTCTAAAATCAATCAAATTAATGGTAACCACTGGGCTAGAGTTCTATGAGGATTACCAAAGGAGGGGGTCAGACTGTGCCTTGGCCAAAGGCCTGGTGGAACAGCTCTGTCTTGCAGGCCCTGCAGAAAGATGTCAAGTCCTGCAGGGCCCTAGTCTCTTGTAACAGAGCGTTCCACCAGATCAGGGCCACGGCCAAAAAAGCCCTGGCTCTGGCTGAGGCCAGCCTAACCTCCCTGTGGCTTGGGATCTCCAAGATGTTTTTATTTGAAGACCGTAAGGTCCTCCGTGGGACATACCAGGAGAGGCGGTCCTGTAGGTACGAGGGTCCTAGGCTACTCCACCGGGAGCCAGTGCAGCTGGTATAGCACCGGGTGAATATGATCCCGCAGCAAGGACCTTGTAAGGAGCCTCACTGCAGCATTCTGCACCCGCTGGAGTTTCTGGGTCAGTCTCAAGGGCAGCCCCACGTAGAGTGAGTTACAATAATCCAGTCTGGAGCTGACCATCGCGTGGCTCACAGCGGCTAGGTCAGGGAGAGAGAGGTAAGGAGCCAACTGCTTAGCTTGGCAAAGATGAAAACTGGCTCCAGACTGTCTGACTGGCTCTGTCTGCAAACAGATACATTTATACAAAGAATGAGTCATCCTCAGGATGAGTCACAGTGATTCAGCATACAGAGTGATTGTGCAGCTTTACAGCATTTCTCAACCTTTCTAGACTGCTTTACTGCTTCCCTTTACTGCTTCTGCTCTCAAATACCTTTGTCACATGACAAGGACAACACAGTCTCTGCTGTCCCTCATTCCAAGCCAGCATGAACCTCTGGAAGCCCTGGAGTCTTGCACCAACCACCCGGAAATTGCGGTGGCATGCCATGCGACAATATGCAAAATTGGATTTTAGTCTGGATGGCATCTGGATGGCAGCATGGCTGGGCACTGAGAACTGCATTTCAATTCACATATTGGCTTAGATAGTGTGAATGAGCTAGATCCACATTAAGCTGTGAGCTGAACCAATTTCTCCTCCCTCCCTAAGCTCAGCTCAGGCAGATGTTCACCCCCAGAGTGAGAACGAGACACAAGTGCAGGCATCTCAAACCAAGATCTTGGGGGGCTTGGTTGCTAAGTGACATCCTCTCTTTCTGACACGGAGAAAAGCTTCTTTCTGATTTCCAATTAGTTCCCAGGTCCAAACGGATGACAGCATTAAGACAGCAGCGGCAGCAGTTTCCTGCAATTTGAAGGCAGGCCTCCAGCAGTGGAGATTAGCTCTTCAAGAGGCTAAAATCTGATTTTGAAGCTGAACGCTAGTTGGATCCTCAGGAAAGCTTTTAGCACAAGCAGTGCTGAATGCTTTGCCCTCAGTGAGAAGACAGAAAAACCATCCTCTATCCACCAAAAAGAGTTAAACGGCAGCTCTTGTCATAGCCACTGGCACAATTCAAGGGGGAGCTCTCTTGTATAAGCAAATGGATGCTATGCAGAGCGCATTAAATATCAGCCGTTGTTAGTGGGCAGGAAGAGAGGTCATTCATGACTGCTTCTTGACCAGCCAGACTGAACCCATTTGGTGAAAAGGATCAGTCTGGTGTCTGCTGGAGGAAGGAAGGGAGTCATTCTCAACCCAGGCTGCGTCTACACACACACACACACACACACACACACACACACATATATAAAACACTCTGAAAATGCTCTGGGGAAAAACACCGTTTTATAGCTCACAATGGACAATTAATACTAATAATTTATTTATACCCCTCCCATCTGGCTGGGTTTCCCCAGCCACTCTGGGCGGCTCCCAACAGAATACTGAAAACACGATAAAACATCAAACATTAAAAACATCCCTAAACAGGGCTGCCTTCAGATGTTTTCTAAAAGTCAGGTAGTTGTTTATTTCCTTGACATCTGATGGGAGGGCATTCCACAGGGCAGGTGCCACTACCAAGAAGGCCCTCTGCACAAACAAACATATTCATTTATGGTTTCAAACTTTAAATTGTAGGGTTGTTTTTGTTTTGTTTTTTAAGAAAAAGGAATTGTATTTTATAAATGTTGTGAGGCATTTTGGAGATGGTGTCCACACACACACACACACACACACACACACACAAATCAGGATATGAAGCTTAAAAATACATGAGTAATAAATAAATAAATAGCATTTTAATACACAATGCCCAATTATTCCACTCATAGCATTGAACCACAAGTCGTGCTGCCACGAGAAGAAGTATAACTCATTATTTCATAATTTAGCTTTATGACACTCTACTGTGGAAATTGGGCTGAGGAATTTTGGAGCTGATGAATTTTATATAGGACACATTTCTCATGTTCAAGGCCCTTAAATTTGTATTTATCAAATGTTCATATATAGGGACGCCTTGTTATTTTCGTCAAGTGAGTTCAGATTTTTCAGAGCGCAGAATAAGCAGGCCTTCAGTGCTGATGCTTAAAGGTAAAGGGACCCCTGACCATTAGGTCCAGTCACGGACAACTCTGGGGTTGCGGTGCTCATCTCGCTTTATTGGCCGAGGTAGCCGGCGTACAGCTTCCGGGTCATGTGGCCAGCATGACCAAGCCGCTTCTGGCGAACCAGAGCAGCGCACAGAAATGCCGTTTACCTTCCCGCTGGAGTGGTACCTATTTATCTACTTGCACTTTGACGTGCTTTCAAACTGCTAGGTTGGCAGGAGCAGGGACTGAGCAACAGGAGCTCACCCCGTCGCAGGGATTCGAACCGCCAACCTTCTGATCGGCAAGTCCTAGGCTCTGTGGTTTAACCCACAGCACTTAGGAAAACATAATAGCCCTGCAGGATCAGGTCAGTGGCCTGAGTCCAGCACCCACAATGGTCAATCAGATGCTCATGGGAATCCTACTAACAGGACATGGATGCAACAGCACTTTCATCTCCTGCAGTTTCCAGCAACTGGTATTCAGAAGCATATTGCCTCCAACTGGGAAGGTGTCAGGGACTGGGCAGAGGAAGAATGGTGGAGACTGCCTCCCCAGCCTGACCCTTCCAGAGAGGAAGAAGACAGTTCAGAATTACAACAGGGGTTTGAGGGAGATCATAGCTCAGAGGCAGATGAGGGGGAAATTTGGGAAATAATGGGCAGCTGGCTGACACGTTATCACTAGAAAGCATTCCAGACCCACCATCTCCCAGAACCTGGCGAGCCTTAAAAGTAGGAGAGCAAAGAGGCAGAGGGCACTTCTCAGCACCTGTAGTGATGACGCATGAAGGGAGAGAGGGAGGGGATGGAGACTCACTTGGGGCAATGTGATTATTCCAAGAGGTTGCATTTCCAAGCCTCTCTCTGTGAAAATTGAATAAAAAGGACTTTTTCTTGTCATAACCTTTCCTGGCAACCTGCCGTGGGGGTTGGTTCCTCTGCTACCTGACAGAAAGCAGTGCATAGCCATCATGGCTGGTAGTCACTCTGTGAATTTCTCTAATCCTCTTTTAAATTTGTAGAATACAGTGGTACCTCGGGTTAAGTACTTAATTCATTCTGGAGGTCCGTTCTTAACCTGAAACTGTTCTTAACTTGAAGCACCACTTTAGCTAATGGGGCCTCCCGCTGCCGCTGTGCTGCCACTGCGCGATTTCTGTTCTCATCCTGAAGCAAAGTTCTTAACCCAAGGCACTATTTCTGGGTTAGCGGAGTCTGTAACCTGAAGCATCTGTAACCTGAAGTGTATGTAACCCGAGGTAGCACTGTACAGTCATACCTCGGGTTACAGATGCTTCTGGTTGTGCGATTTTGGGTTGCGCATCACACCAAACCCAGAAGTACCAGAACAGGTTACTTCCAGGTTTTGGCGCTTGCGCATGCACAAAAGCGCTGAATCGTGACCCACGCGGGCACAGATGTGCGGGTCGAGGGTTGCAAATGCTGCGGGTTGCGAACGTGCCTTCCGCACAGATCACATTCGCAACCCGAGTGTCCACTGTACTGGAATCCTCTGTAAAGACTTGCAATCCTCAGAAAGATCACAGTACAGTTCTGAGTCATTACAATTCTGAGGCTACTGTCTCAGTAGCCAATATCTGGGTCAGTATTACAAGAAGCTTTTGCTCCAGAAACCTCTCTTTGCTTTCTACTACCTTGTGCTGTGTGGCACACTTCCCGTTTCCAAACAAAACAATACGATTCCAGAGGCTCTGAAGTCTGCAGGAATTCTGAACTTGTTTTTTCCTGTGTATGCAAATAGGGACTTTGTCAGGCAGAAGTGTAGGAGTTAGGCAGGGAATTGGCGACTCTCTTCAAGAGTTGTCAGCGTTTAGTGTTTGCTGTGTTGTACAGTTAATGTTCATCCATCATCCTGCCTCTGTGTTTGTCAGTCAACCCACCGAGAGAGCGGCAATAGCTGCAAAAAAGATGGGAGCTTGGATCGGCTTCCGAGTGTCAGTATCAACACTGGATACCCTGCAAATTATCCAGAGACTGCTAATTGGTCATGTCTGAGTCATCCACTATTTCCAAACACTGAAAGCATTTCCAAAACGTGTTGGGAGGGGGCAGGGAGAATGAAACCCAGATGGGGCTGTAAATCTTATAAACTGCAAACACAGCTGATATAGGACAGCCGGAGGTTTGTGGGTGGGAAAGAAAGTAGCGTTTTGGAGCTGGGGAGGGGGAGAATACATGCACAGTATTATTTTTCTTTCATTTCAACAGATGGTGCACTCAGATAATGACGCTGTGCATTGTTCCGCTGAAAGTTCCACTTAGCTTCAGAACATCCATATTCTGGTGCCTAACCGTATTCTCAATTCTCACTTGAATGAATGGGAGATTGAAAAGTTTCTGGGTTGGTTCCCCCCCCCCCAAAAAAAAGGGGGGAAAAAGAAAAAGAAAAACTCAGAGTTGGCTGGTTCTCTGCCAGTGCTAGAGATCTAAGCAACTACAGTGGTGCCCCGCAAGACGAATGCCTCGCAAGACGGAAAAACCGCTAGACGAAAGGGTTTTCCGTTTTGAAGTTGCTTCGCAGGACGAATTCCCCTATGGGCTTGCTTCGCAAGACGAAAATACCTTGCGAGTCTTGAGGTTTTTTCGCTTTCCCCCCCCTTTATCTAATCTGCTAAGCCTTTAATAGCCTTTAATAGCCTTTTAGCAGCTAATCCCCTAAGCCTTTAAGCCTTTAATAGCCGCTAAACCGCTAATAGCGCTAATAGCGCTAATCCGTCAATGGGCTTGCTTCGCAAGACGAAAAAACCGCTAGACGAAGACTCTCGTAGAACGGATTAATTTCGTCTTGCGAGGCACCACTGTAGTTGTCATTGTGCTTAATAAGAATAATAATAAATTTTTATTTATATCCCGCACTCCCCAGCCAAAGCTGGGATCAGAGCGGCTAACAACAGTAAAATAATACAACATTCTAAAATCATTTCATTATAAAATCAATTTAAATCAAATTAATGGCAACCATTGGGCTAGAGTTCTGTGAGGACTGCCAAAGGAGGGGGTCAGGCTGTACCCTGGCCAAAGGCCTTAGTATTTATAATAGAATTTAAAGTACTTCTTATGCACACACATGCCATTACTATTGTTGTTGTTTAGTCATTTAGTCATGTCCGACTCTTTGTGACCCCGTGGACCAGAGCACGCCAGACACTCCTGTCTTCCACTGCCTCCCGCAGTTTGGTCAGACTCATGTTTGTAGCTTCAAGAACACTGTCCAACCATCCCGTCCTCTGTCGTCCCCTTCTCCTTGTGCCCTCCATCTTTCTCAACATCAGGGTCTTTTCCAGGGAGTCTTCTCTTCTCATGAGGTGGCCAAAGTATTGGAGCCTCAGCTTCACGATCTGTCCTTCCAGTGAGGACTCAGGGCTGATTTCCTTCAGAATGGATAGGTTTGATCTTCTTGCAGTCCATGGGACTCTCAAGAGTCTCCTACATCACCATAATTCAAAAGCATCAATTCTTTGCTGATCAGCCTTCTTTATGGTCCAGCTCTCACTTCCATACATCACTACTGGGAAAACCATGGCTTTTACTATACGGACCTTTGTTGGCAAGATGATGTCTCTTCTTTTTAAGATGTTGTGTAGGCCATTACTATTACATGAGTTCAATGCTATTATTCTAGGAAAAGAGGTGCCAGAACTCACCATGAACAACTCCCTTGTTCTCTTAATAATGGCAATGGCTCGCACCTGAGAGGTGCTGGAACTCTGTTCCAGGGAGTTCCTGCTGAAAAAAAGCCCTGCATGAGCCCATACTACAGCTTATACTTTACTTCTGTTGCATTCCATCCCTCCTCAAAATCTTGCAAGTCTTCCTCCACTCTTCTGTGATCAATTAAAGAAGAAGAAAAAAACCATTATCCAGTTGTTACTGAACAGCTTGGTTCAGCAGGAACCTTGTATATGCACAAGACTGATTCGGCTTTACTCTGAGTAATGAGTGTGTCATTGCAGCTGACTGGGGAAGGCCCCTAGAGTGCCCACCAGAGGAAATGCCAGCTATGAGCAGGAGGTTGAATGTGCCAGATCGCTCCCCCAAACCCATATCTAATGCAAGCAATGCCTATAATTCAGCCATTAATCATCTCTTGCAAGGATATCCTACCCAGAACAAAACAAGTGCCTTTGCTTTTTGTATTTCCCAAGAAGTCCAAGTTTAGCCTCTTTCAGTAGGGCTGAGATTACCTGATTCAAATAGCCTCGTGACTTTGGGAAAATAGCCTTGTGACTGGGTCATGACCCTTCGTTGGTGCTACTCAGGCAGGTACAGGAAAACTCATTGCCTGTCTCTTTTATTATGTAATGACACACATGTCCCACACAGACCTTTGTGAAAAGCCATTTCCCTTGCCTCCGAACCATGGTTGTTGTTTACTTTCAGCTTAATTGGGACTTCTTTGCAGAAAGGCACCCCTCGGTGTCTTTCTAAAGCAGGGCTTCCGAAACTTGAGTGTCTGGCTATTGCTGGACAACAACTCCCATCCTCGCTAGCTAGCAGGACCTGTGGTCAGGGATGATGGGAGTTGTAGTCCAACAACAGCTGGAGATCCAAGTTTGGGAAACTCTGGTCTAAAGGGAAGAGATTTCTTTTCAGAAACCAGGCTGAGCGGGCTCGGTAGAATCCAAATTAAAATTAAATGGAGAAAAAGACTGGAGTGGATCACAATGGTTCTAGAGGATGAGAGGATCTCATAGTTTTTCTAGAAGCCA